AACTAGCATGCTAGCATGCAAAAAAAAAAAATCGATAGCTCAGACACTGATAAAAAGGCTCAGACACTAATATTCCATTGTTATAATTTATTATATTGGAATCGTAATCACGATCGAATACATCAGACCGGCAAATTCAAAAACTTTTTTGAGTTTGTAGGTCTGATAAACTGGATGGTGATTACGATTTCAATTTAATAAATTATAATCATGGAATATTAGTGTTTGAGCCTTATTATATATATATATATATATATATATATATATATATATATATATATATATATGTCTTCTGTGTCATGGTGCAGATTCTAGTTGGCAGACATTTATTGCCATACAATAAGAAATGTAGGCAAGTTTAAAATATTTTTTAAAAGCTACATACATTAGTTTGCTCTAATTTATAGCAATATATATATATATATATATGTATGTGTGTGTGTGTGTGTGTGTGCGTGTGTGTTTTGTTTACAACTTATATTAAACTAAGAAAATATTTCTTCGCTTACGTGTGTATGCAATGTAACGCCCGTATATAGAATTGGTAATATTTAATTATAATAATATATTAATATATCCCATGAGCGATGCTTAAGCATTCCAAAAGCATTTGCCGCCATTGATATTCGATTAAATATTTCGCCATCCAAATAGTCACTTGAATTGACATCTTAAGTACGTGAATGTTTTCACATACTTCAGGTTTTTGTTGCCATAATTAATGGGTACGAATAGAAAACTATTGCCAAGTGTTTTTTCTTTTGCACCCTTGACCTGCTTAGTTGTAGGCCTTGGTTGATGGACAAATTCAGTTTTATTTATGTTTATAGTTAGTTCGAATGCATTGCAAGCGGTAGAAAAAAACGATTGATGAGTGCTTGAGCGTCTTTTATTGAGGTGGGCACGATCGCAGCGTCATTAGCATACAAAAGATCACGAATACTTTTGCTTTAAAACGCTGATGGTTAAAGAGACCTGCACTTGTGCGGAATTCATATTTCACACCCATGTCTAGATCACTACAAACATGGTGTAGCATGACCAAAAAAAGCGAGCGAAAATTACTGGAGCCATGACACAACCTTGTTTTGTGTCATTTGTTAAATCAAAGACTTCTGAAAACTGTCTATTAGATATAACAGATGTTCTCATTCCTTTGTGAAATGAGATGAAGACATTTAGCATACTGTCAGGTATGCCAAGCTTTTTGAGTACTGTCTAGAGTGAACCCCTGTTTACAGTGTAAAACGCTTTGGTCAGATTGATAAAGACGGTATAGTGTTCATTATTCTTCTCGCGAACTTTCTCATCAACCTGACGAAGTAAAAAAAAAAATCATACCGATGGTTCTTCCAGCTGATCGAAAGCCAGACCGAGATTCCGGATAGATGTCGGCAATGAGATATTTGATTATTCTTTTGAGCGAGAATTTTGCTAGCGATACTTACAAGTGCAATGCCACGGGAATTATCACATATAACCTTTTTGCCTTTGTTCTTGAACAGATGTTTTGTGCAAGCATATTTGAAGTCCTGCGGAACAGAACCAACTTTCCATGAGACTTTAAAAAGCTCGAGGACTTTCTTAACCAGCGTCTTCCCACGATATTTCCGTGGTGGAGGAATAGTATCGTTTCCAGGGGTTTTATTCGAGAACAATGATAGAATCTCGGACTTCCTTTAGGCATGGCTCAAGAGACAACGGGGAAGCTTCTGGTAGCTGATGAATTGAGGCAATGACGTTGTCATCGATGTAAAAAGGTGGAATTTAGGGCTATTTCAAAGTGTTCTTTCCATCGTGATATAATCCCTTTCTTGTCACCGTCAGACAACAGAACAGGTGAAATTCTATTTGTTTGTGAGCCGTACACCTTTTTAAGGCCCTCACAAAATGCTTTGGAATCTTTTCTGTCAGCTGCCGCCTGGAGTTTCACAGCCTTAGCAGACCACCAGGACGCTTTTATTTTCCTCAGATCACTTTCTCCCTTCATGGTTGCCCTCTTTATTTTAATTTATTTGTTGCGTATCTTATGGCAACACCTAAAACAATCTTAACTGAAATTGTATGTAAGGCCACTGTAATTTCAAATATATAGAACTAAAATATAAAACACTACATTTTGAAGGGATTCCATATACAGTAAAAGGGGGAAGTATTATTTTTAAATGATGCAGAGTGCTAAATATTAAGTCATGTTTCACATCCATTCACTCACACAGTGATTGTAGGAAGAAATATTGCCCAGTAAGTGAAAAATGTATGGGTGGCTGTAAAAGCAAAAAAGATATCTGAAAAAAACATATCTATATAAGTATAATGATGGGATTCTAGAAACAGTTGCTATAGACTTAAGTTGACATTTAAGAACAGAAAATATGAGAATAGTACATTTGTCTCTATTTCTGGGATGAGGAGTTATTTAAATGTTGACTATTATCCTCATCTTTGTTGTTGTTATTATCATCACAATGTTTCAATTGCTGTACCCTTCAGTTATCGTTAGGCGCTTCTCAATCTGGTTAATCTTCAGGAAATTTCAAGCTGAACATTTTATTCAGTCTATGGGGTGGGTAGAATATTCTTGTACCTCTGATATCTAGAAATATCTCATCTAGTTCATATTTAGTACTGCTCAGTTTGTAGAACAATTTAACCCCATAAATTAATCGACAATTTTTGTTGTTTTTGAATATTTTGTGCAAATCGTGCATCTTCACAATGAGACGTTGAACGTGAGCATCATTTACGCCGAAACAATCCTGATTCTTCCTCATGGGAATTCCTAGACTACTTCTAGACTACTGGAATAAATAGGATCTTTGAGATATTTCCAGGAGGATTCACTGTCTTCTGAAATCACAACTGAATCAAACTTCGATATCCAGTATGTCAGGGGGTTCCTTCTTCTTAACGTCAGAATTTAGGGGTAAGATGTTGATTCGTTTAGGAACCGGAGTGCTAACGGGGGGTTTCTTGCGTACGAGACTGAAGGATGCTTTGCTACGAGATAGATCATGCACTGAAAGATACCAAGTATTGTGGAAAAAGCGGGTGATATTGAAATCTTTCGCGTCATGTTTCCTAGTGATAATGAAAGTAAAATTCATATATCAGTGTATTCTGTTCTAAGCGTGTCCAAACGTAAACATATATATATATATATATATATATATATATATATATATATATATATATATATATATATGAAGACATATAGTCTTAAGATGTGCTATATTTATGCGATAAAGTGCTCAATATCAGAGATAGAGCGTGTGTAAATATAAAAGTGAACATAGAAGTCAACACTTAGATCGTCAGGCCACGAGTGCTGTTATTTTTCTAGGCTATTTATATATATATACGGGTCAGTGGTGCATTGTGGGTAGTCTATTTTGGCGGTTATTTTACCGGGAGTCGTTTATTTGTTTATTTATTTATTTTGGTTAAATTATTTTGCTTGTTTTTATTTATTTTTTTATTTTTATTTTTTATTTTTATTTCTCATCTTATATATTTATTTATTTTATTTTATTTTATATTTATTAGTCGGTGTTTTTATTTCATGATATTCGGTTAAATATCTCGCCATCCAAATAGGTACTTGAATTGACTTCTTAAGTACGTGAATGATTTCACATACTTTAGGTTGTTATTGCCAGCAGTAATTTTTTATTATTTATTTATTTATTCTATTTCGTCTATTCTAACGGGTGTGATTTGGTAATTTCTTTGGGTTAATTTATTTTGCTTATTTTATTTTCATTTTGTTTATTTATTTGTTTTTATTTTATTTCTTTCAGTTTTCAATTTTTAAGTAACGTAGTAAAAATTTGTTTTCATATCTGCATTTTGAAATGAGCTCGGATCTTTTAATAAATAATTTATTTTGGTCTAGGTGGTAATGATCGCTATTTTTCCCCCAAGCAAAGTTTGCAAGTTTTTGATTGGTTGTTGTAGGCTGATGATCTTTTCCTTATTTTGCAAGATATTTTTCGTGTGATGTGTGTTTTGTTTTTAATTTCCCAGATATACTTAGAAAGCATTGTGCTGTTCGAATATTTAGTATTTGTGAAAGATGTTTTGTGTGCATAATTTCTTTGTTTCCAGGGTCCTTCAGTTACTCCGATGTATAATTTACCTTTATTATATATATATATATATATATATATATATATATATATATATATATATATATATATAAACTGAAAGAGAAAGAAAGAAAGCTTTCTTTATTTTTTGAAATTCATTTTCTATAGGAAAGTGTATACCGGAATCACTGATATTGTTTATATTAATTTGCAAATACCATATTGTTTTACCATTCTTATATGCCTTTTCATCTACACAAATATCCAGACCGCTGGCATCGTACTTAACATATGTATCCATTACACTAATCCCAGTCAATAATACCGAGAGAAAATTAACCCTATTTCTTTTTCTTTTTCTTTTTTTACATACTTTTAATGCAGCGAAACTAACGATTTTATTTAAATGTTTTTTAGCGCATTTCCCTAACTGACAATATGGATTAAAAATATCAATTAGGATAGAAAAGTTAGAAAGGGATTTTGATCTGGACGCCGAGGCATGACGCCCGGGTTCCACAATATCGGAAGCCACTTGTCAAGAAGACGTTACGGGACATTCATTTTAGTAGGCGAGTCACGTTAGCAAGTAGTGAGACTGTGGATATAGTTGATTTACGAGAATCTATATCTGGTGTTGACGTCATTTAGAAGTGAAGACCTTGTCGGTTTTCGCCGGCAAGCGCGGACGTTGGAAATGAAATTGAAATGGAAAATAGAATTTAAGTGTGGACGCAAATAATATACATGTCATCCGCCTGTCTTTCTTCCATTCCCCGCCGATCTACCACAATAATTTGGGCTATGTTTCCGGCGTTGCCCGATGCGTCGTTATGGAGAGAATGGCAAATTGGTGAGTAAAAAGAAAATGTGACTATGTTAGGGTGGATGAGAAACAAGAGGGAGTTCATATCAAATAGAAAGGTATTGCGTGTGTGTGCGTGTAAGAGAGAGAGAGAGAGAGAATGAGAGAGATAGAGAGAACGTAAGTGTTAAATGAGAGAAAAAAATGAGAGAAAATAGACAGGAAAAAGAAGGAAGGAAAATAGAGTACAGAAACATAAATGGATGAAAAGAGAGAGAGAGAGAGAGAGAGAGAGAGAGAGGAAGGGGATAGGAAGGGGAGAGGAAGGGGAGAGGAAGGGGAGAGAGAATAAGAGATATAGAGAACATGGAAGAGTAAACAGAGAAAAAACGAGAGAAAATAAACAGGAAAGAGAAGGAAGGAAAAGAGAGTACACACATAAATGGGCGAAAATAGAGTAAGCGAGAGGGCGTGTGTGTGTGTGTGTATGTGTGTGTGTGCGATAGAGAGAGAGAGAGATAAAGGGAGAGAGAAGGAGAGAGAGAGGAGTGTAAGGTTACATGAAAGACTGATGAAAGAAAGAAAAAAGAAAGAAAAACTGAAATGTGAGAAATGTAATTAGAAATGTCAGCGTGAAGAGAAGTGGACTTGAAGAGAGAGAAAGAAAAAGAGAAAGAGAAAAAGAACAATGTTACGAAGGGTAGAGAGCGAGAAAGAGCGAGAGAAAGAATATAATAAGGGGACGGCATGAAAAAGAGGAAGAAAGAAGTGTTGATTAATGAGAGAAGCAGACAAGATAGAAACAGAGAGTGATAAAGTGAGTAACAAGAATGGAAACTGGCATACAGGGTGTTTCAAAAGTCTATCACATGACGACACCGTCTATCTTTATATCTATTGAAGATATCAAAAGGCACTTTATATTTCCTGATAGCTAATATTTCCACGCTTCTAGGCAGGTTTTTACAGGCGTTCAATGTAAGCGCCACTGGTTACAACGCCGCACATCCAAACGATAATCCAATTTTTGCCAAACGCGACAGAACATAGCGGTGTCGATGGTTGACAATGCTTCCCTTATTCGCTTCTTCTGATCGCTCAAGCTTCTGAGAAAGAGACGTACATACACGAGGTCTTTCACATACCCCTAGAGGAAGAAGTCAGATGGCGTGAGGGTCTAGAGACCTGGGTGGGCATCGTAGGAACATGTGATCAGTCTGCCAGGAACGCCCGACCCATCTGTCAGGCAGAGTGTTTTTCAGATACTGCCTAACTTGATAAAATAAATTTAAATTAAATTAACACCCCCCACAAAAAAAACTTGACACTTTTAGTTTTTAATGATATAAGACATTTGAAACCTCTTACATATGTCATCACAGACAGACACACACACACACATACACACACACACACAAACACACACACATATATATTTAATAATAAAAAAAACGAGTACTTTTAAAGATCATGGTGACATTTATTTCGTTAAAATCGAAATTTCCATTCCAATTCTTCAGACTGGGACATTACACAAATAAATGGATAAATATTTTACCAGGCTTAAAAATAATCTGAACATAAATTACATTTAATTATGCAGATTCCAAATAGAGGGTAGGGACGATGACCAATGGCATGTTATCAGGACATGAGAAGATAATGGAGAAGAAGATTCAAAATTGGGGTAGGAAAGATGACTAGAGAGGGGGTCGTAATGGAAGGAATGTGTGGAGAATCAAACGGAGTCAATGCTTGGAAGGCACAAATTTGTTAAAACAGATATATTCTCGAATTATCCATAGGGATTACCTATATATATATATATATATATATATATATATATATATATATATATATATATATATATATATATTTTTATATTTAACGTTCTTTTTATAGATACAACGTTCTTTAAGATAAATTTAAGTAAATGCTGTTTATAATAAACAGTATTAAATAACATTTACCGGCCTGAATGTTCGAGAAATTTTCATATAAATTGAAAACATATAAAAATTAATCCTTTGTGGCCGAGAGGTTAGGCACGTCAGCGTAAATGACGGCTCCGTATAGGATGCAGGTTCGAATCCTTTCAAAAGACGAATATTTTCTATGAAAATTTCTCGAACATTCAGGCCGGTAAATGTTATTTAATACTGTTTATTTCAACAGAGCATTTACTTAAATACTTGTATTTATAAAAAGAACGTTAAACATAAAATTGTCTTATATATATTGGGATTACCAAATTATATATATATATATATATATATATATATATATATAAAAATAAATAAAGCATCCCAAATAGCTTTAACAAAATTCCACGGTATGCTGTCGAGTTGATCAGGAGTGATGTATCTTCCAATCTTGGAGCCAGACTTACCAATGCCTTGCTCTTGGATTTGAGGGCTATCAATCTTCTTATCCCCAATATTAAGATAAAAGGTATCCATTTTGATAAATGTAAAATTGATAGAGCAAACGCTAAAGTGAAAACAAATGCCCATCCACAGCAAGATGATAAGGTGGAAAATTTTCTTTGTATTGGAGTTGATGGGAGAACTGACAAAGACAGGTTAATGTCCAAGGAAATAGTAGAGGAAAATGGAGAGAAAACCCAAAGAGAACAGAACGCCACTTGATTTTCACAAAGATGACATTTGAAAGTGAATATCTGACACACAGGGTTCTTCCTAATATTGGTGCAATTGCTGCTGTTTTTGCCGAGCAAGTGGCTGATGTTTTTCATCAATTCAACGGTGTGAGCACTATCAAGGTGATCCTTGTTGACAACACTAACGCCAATACAGGCTATGAAGGTGGATGTGTTGCACTTCTAGAAAGAAAACTTAACAAAAATCTTCGCACTTTTGGTTGCTCCTTGCACCAAAATAAACTTCCGTTTAGAGCTCTTTTTAAACGGGGAGATGCAATCATAAAATCCCTACCACATTCAATGGTCCACTAGGTAAGTTTTGTGCAAATGATTACCATAATTTACCCCAAATATCATTTTCAGCTGTTGGCAGTTCTCTGGATTCTATTTTTAAAATTGAAAATACAGATACCCTTAGTTGTGACCAAAGACTGCTTTATTATTATACAGTGGTTATTTCTAGAGGTAAGGTGCACTCTAGATTTGCATCATGGGACATTGTTCCATTAAACCAGGCAACGTGGTTAACTTTAGCCATCAGCCTGATGTGTTTATGGACTCGTGGAGCATAACCACGAAATCTTTCA